AAAAAAAAAAAAAAAAAAAAAAAAAAAAAAAAAAAGTAAGTTATATTCATGTGTCATTACAAATATCCAGTGAGCTCTGATGTATATAAAATACTTCATAAAATGTAAAGGGCTATAATAAATATGAGTGAATTATTATAAAGTGGTTCCCTCAGCCCTGAGGTATATATATCATTTGCCTCAGATTACTGGGTGTTTTTTTTAATTTAAAAATGTTTCATATCTGCTAAGCAGTTTGTTCTGTCTCCTACCACACTATCAATATGCCTGCCTCTGCCGGCTGCCCACTTCCTCCTAATGTGCTGTGTTCATCTGCTGTGAGCTGGGACCTGAGATAACCAAGCCTGTTTAGTGCAGACAGAGCTAGACAAGCTCTGGGTGCACAGGCTTTGAGACAGCTCTTTTGGTTGCTTACCGCCTTTCTGACAGGTTCACAGTAACCTTCTGAATAATAGAAGTTTCTAACGAAAGCCTAGGCTAGCGGTTTTTTCAGGTGCCACTAAGTAAAAGACTACAAACTAAGGACGTTGCTAGATTAAGGGATAACAGCATGCACCAAAGAACAGCAAAGCAACAACAAATACTGTGTCTGCACAGGGGTCTTTCATGCTTTTAAGAAAAAAGAATGCAGGGGTAAAAAAACAATGAAAATCAAATCCAGATAGACTTAAGAGTATTTCTGATGCCATTAAACTTTGTCAATACCATTAAAATACACACTTACATCATCACATGTTGTTTCAAAGACACAGTTTAGTCTCATTGCAGAATAAGATTGTACCAAAATTTCTCCCCTAACAATGATTCCTAAGAATTTCTCACTTCAAATAATCAAGGAAATTATTATCTAAAGGAAAGTCTCAAATTTACCTGTATGCTGCTCTTTAGTTATAAATGAATTAGTGATAGGAATATGGGTTTTACCAAAAGCTCCAAGGCACACATCTCACATACACTCACCTGCTATATGTACATGTATATAAATGTCACTATAAATGAAAATGTCACCCAGAGATAATAAAATAATTTTTAAAATTTAAATCTGGTCCAAAGTATTTAAAATAGATAGAATTTTCACTTTTCCTACGTTTCTTCCTCATTTAGATTTCATGGTTTTTACATTAAAGATTGACTATATGAATTTTCTTTTAAATTTCTCTACATCTTTCATTTCTAAACTGTTCTCTCTAGTAAATTTTAGATTCACATTTTCAGGAAATTTGGAGTGTTCCAGACAATATACTAGATATCAGGAAGTTTTCTCACTGGGCTCTGAGGCGCTGTAAGTTCTTATGCTAGAATGTAAGCTCCTTGAGGGCAGGTACTATCTTATTTATTGTCTCCAAGGTTCCCGGTACATGATCTGACAGAGTAGTCAGTGTTTGTTGAATGAATCAAATGAACCTTCACCATATGTGGCCTCAAGTTCCCATGAAGCCAGATTGCAATGTGCAGATTATTCCGTGCTAGAGGAATCCATCAATTACTATTACAATGAACAGACTGTATTCATCAGAGTAATGTTTTTTCTGACCAGAAGTTCAGAAAAACTAAGCATTTCTTACTGATCTGGAAAATGGCTAGACTATTTTTCACTCAACCAACATTTGAATCCCTACTATATGCCTAGTCCAGTACTTGAGACTCAAGGGACAAAGGTAACTAAGGTTTTGGTATTCCATGGCTGCAGCTGAAATAGACTTAGATGCAGGGATGGCTTCATGGGTGTGTGACCTGTGCAGTCATATAGGGCCCTGCACTGAGAAAGGCCTCATGTTTGGTTTAATGCTCTGCTGAAGCCATCTTGAAATTCCTAATTTTTTTAACAAGGGGCCCTCATTTGTATTTTGTACTGGGCTCACAAGTTATATAACTTACCCGGCTTAGATATTATCATTCTGACATGGTGGAAAGGAACCACAACAAGAATTACCTTATCTTTTACCTATCTTCTGGTAAAGATATTCACATTCATTGAAAACTAGCCATAAAGTGAATGATTTGGTAAAATAACTTCTAAAATCAAAACAAAGTATCTCCCTCCCAAACTTTTTTAACAGATCAAAATGCTCATTTCAGAATTAGAAAAGCTTTGTAAAAGTGTAATTGGCTTTTACCTTTTCAATTGGATGTTTTGACTTTTTCAAATGGATGAAGCTGTAGAGTGGTAGGGGAATTTATTTTATCTACATGCACACCTACATACAATTTTAAGGTTTTAATAAACCTTTTATTAAAATATGCACTGAATATATTATATATACCAAATATATATTTGGTCTAAGTCTACCTCAAAATGTGCTTTAAAAAAAGTAAATGCTACTTTGAGACACTTGACACACTTTTTGTGTATGGTTAACCTGTTTAAAAGGTTGATGGCAAACTTGCATTTAGCAGTAGTTGGAAAATTTTTGTTTAAATTGCTTAGGTGTTCATGTGCAGACCAGAATCAAGCATAAGGCTGTAACGGAGGCAGTCACTTGGTGGTTCTTGTTAGTGAGAGCCTAAACTTTTTCAATCACGTTAACCCCTATCAGCAAAAATCAGTGACTGTAGTCCAAATTTTGATTGTTTATAAATTATATATACACATATACTATTGTACTAATCTACATGTACATTATAAAACATGTACAGAGAAAATGGAAATTTTAAAAGAATTAAGATTTTGAAAAAGCAAAGTTCTCCAGCACCTCTTGCACTCCCAGGGGTCTCGTGCTCCCGCTGGTATTGTGCATTTTTCATTTTGTGAAGTCCACGGTCCTAAAACACGCAATTGGCATTGTACGTTGAAAACACATTTACTGAGACCCAATCCATTCACATCAGCTCACTAATGTCCTGGCCATTTATAAGTTTATTCGATATGAATCATGTTTTGTAGGGTTTTATAAATTAGTTCCTTTATTCAGTGAAAACTGTATTCATATAAATAGGAAGCATAGTTGATTTTTACTTTTGTTTTTCAAGCTGTCTATAGGGATTGGTTCTCATATAGGTACACTTAGAACATGCTATTTTTCAGTGTTCCCTAGGATGATGTTTTCTTGTATATTTAACAGTATGATTGGTGGTTCATTTTACCATACTATTTAAATTCACTAGAAAAATGACAGTCAAATTTGGGACACTCGTTTTTTTGGTAAACCACTGAAGAAAAAAATAGAGTGACTCCCTTTCAATTATTTTGTGAACTTAACCATTTAGGTAAACTGATTTAACTAATGAGAGCACTAATTATCACTATTTCAGTTATTCCTCTGACTACCACACTATGGGCTATTTAAAAATGGGTTTTTTTATTTAAAAGGCAAGGGTTATTTGGCATGCATTTATACTAAGGCATTAACAATTAATTTTAGTTTACTGTTACTGATGTAACAAATTACCACAAGCTTAGTGGTTAAGACAACACAAATTTATGTCCACTGATTTTTCTTCTAGGCCCTTCCTTCGGACAGAGGACATGAAAAGTGGTTAAACTCTAGCATGCGGCAGTTAGGATCACCTGGAGGGCTTGTAAAAATACAGATTGCTGGGTCCACACCCAGAGTTTGTGATTCCATTAGGTCTGGGGTGAGAGCCCCATTTTGCATTTCTAACCAGTTCCCAGTTGATGCTGTAGGTCTAGATACCACAGTTGGAGAACTATGGATATTGAAGATGCAGTTAGGGTTTAGATTTCTCACAGATGACAGATCCCATGGATCTTTATGTAGACAAAGGAAGCCAGTTTAGAGAAGATCTTAACTTTGGAGGTTGATATTCTAGATGGACAACACGCGTCCATCAGCTGCGCCATTCAGTACATTGTCAGGTTGGCGCTCCTTCAGCAAGAGCTAAGACTTCCCTGATTTCACATGATAGTTAAGTGACTGAGCAGTTAATTAAGCTAAGACCATCTTACCTTCTCAGGAACAGACTGGTGCTGTGTGGCTTATCTTCTAACTCAAAGAGTACTGCTACAGAAACACTCTGGTGTGAGCTGTCAAGAGCTGCAACTGCCAGAAAAGGAACAACTGAAACATTAACCAGGGCAGAGACAACTCAAAGCATTTTTTAACCTTTTTTGGAGGAAATAACTGTTTCCATTGAAAGCCATTTAAATTATGGGTACACCAAGCTGCTGCATGGACATGAACATGCAAAAGCCCTTCACTATAGAAGATTAAGTTTTGTCTGAGTAAAATGAAGGATCCAGATTTCATTGTGAAAGGATTACTTTTTAAAAGTTAAATATAAAGTATCAGATCTATTCTGAATACATTGTATTTATGAAGCAGTTATTACTTAAATAGTATTTTTGTGTGTGTACTTAATAAATGTATGTAATTAA